ATCTCAGGAAACATTATAAAATAATAAAAAAATGAATTGCATAACCTCTAAAGGTAATTCTAAGAAACTGAATTGTATAAAGCATTATGTAATATTATCCAGATCTAGATATAAATCTAAATCAGATAATAAAAAAGCCTCATGGCACTTACCCAGACATGTACGACTGTCATTGGCCATACTGAAGCCTTCGGGGCAGTAGCAGGCTCCACCCTGTGGGCTGGGATGACAGCGGTACTCACAGCTTAGAGCAGAACACTGGTGCAAACCTACAAGAGAGGCAATTATCGGAGGTAGTTATTCTAAGTATCTGGGGCACCTGAGTGATCCCAGCATATCTGTCACATCACATGCATAATGTGATAAGAGAGTCACATAAAAGACCATCTGTCATCATCTGTGTTACATTAAAATATGACTTTCACCCAGACAATTGTTTAACTCAATAAAATACAGTACTTTAAATTGTACTGTAATACTGAGGGTTTCGTTGAGGTTATGCATATCAGGCATTCCAGTTCATTATAGCTGTACTGGCATCTAGTAAATACTCTGTGATAGGCTGTTAGGCTTGTTAGGGAACTTGCTAATGCTAACTTGTTCATGTTTGACACTACATGATCATTATATTAAAATGTATGAGTACTGTGAGTAACATGTGCTGAGTTCAACACAAAATTGTTAACATTTAATTTAATTTACCACAGGTCAGATGTGCTGTAGTATTGCTCTCATCGGTTCCACCAGGGCAGTCAGGATGTTCATCACACACTTTGCTTATGGGACATTGAAGAGCCTGGACAGGGCCATTCGCCAGGGTAACAGTCTCGGATACCTGGGTCTGAAAGTATGAGCATTTAGGTTTAACTAATTTACCATATGCTTTACTAAATCTTATTTAATATATGATTGAAAATATTGCATATTGATAGGAGAGAGGAGGTGTCAATCTCACCACATCCATTTTCATCACTGAAGTCCCCACAGTCAGTGATGCCATCACACACCCACTGCTGAGGCATACAGCATCCATTACTGCAGGTGACCTCTGACCCATTACAGGTCCGATACTCTGAAAGAATACAACATTGCAGTGCTTTAAATGGCAGAAACAACTATAAGAAAGCGATGTACAATAGTATTTACTTGGTATAACACAAAATATAGTAGTACTACCATGTCCAAAATCATGGTATTAGCATATACAAAAAAGGTACTTTATGTACTTTTATCAGTGACCTAATGTATATTTTGAACACCCACATTTGCTTCCTGATAAATTATATTTTATAACCCATGCAGCTTTGGTAGAATAGGTGAGATGTAATGTGGAACCCACCACGGTTTTGCTCATCACTGTTGTCTCCACAATCATCCCAGTGATCATAGTCAAAGGCCATCAGGATGCAGTATCCACTGGCACATTTAAACTGATGTGACTGACAGCGCCTTGCTGTTTGAGGGATGAAAGACAAAGAATATGAAAGGAAATGACCATGACGTAAATGGTCAAATGTTGAACATTCGTGTGAATATGCTTTGCATGGTGTCTGATTGATTACTACACTCTCACTCACTGCAATTGGATTCATCTGATCCATCTCAACAATCTAGTATCCCATCGCAGTGCTGAGTGTTGTTGTAGCAAGCGCCGTTAGCACAAGTCTTCTCTGTGCAGGCTGGGTAATCTGGATTCAACAAGTAATTGGTAATTTGACTGGTAATTTGTTGCATTTTATTAGAATTCCAAAACCTGATGATGATGACAAAATCTGACAGTTCCTCTGTCATTTTGGTAACTGATTTATCTTGAGTTTTTTATGTGTATTGGACCATTAAAAATGGTCATATATGCTTTTTGTCTCGTAAAGATAACATTGCTAAATACCTTTGTGACATTCATTAAAGGCCTGTTTGCAATTAATTTTAGTTTTTGAAGTTTAAATTCTGGTTCAAATAATATAATTAACAACTATAAATAGTATATGTTACTGTAGATGTGTTATATCTCTTATATTCTAACAAATAATAATAAATAATAGAATTATTTATTCAAATGATATTTAGAATTTTCTGAATGTCTGACAGATTTTTTTATTACTATATATTGACCAATAGGAGCCTGTACTGGTACTGAGGAATAATAAACTCTATATCTCTCTTCATTGTAGTACTGCCAACATATTTGTTTCAATGTTTTATAGGCCTAGGCTGTACTGTTTCAATGACAAAGGCGCTAAAATAAGCATACACGTTATAGTAAGCATACATGAAACAGTAGCGGATATTTCAATTTTTATTCAATTAAGGTTTTAATATTAGGAATGTGATGAATTATACACAAAATTAAATAAAATAAATAATTAAATACAATTAAACATATTATTGACAAATAATAATAAATAATGAAAAATTGTAATTGATCTTTTGAATTTTCTTAATTTCAGACAAAAACATTTAATTACTATATACTGATAAATAGAAGCCTGTATTGTTACTAAGGGGCAGTCGTGGCCTAATGGTTAGAGAGTCTGACTTGTAACCCAAAGGTTGTGGATACCCTTGTTAAGGGTCAATCCAACAAACCATTGTTCACCTACTGTAGAGATACTCACGACAGTTCTGCTCATCAGAGTCATCCGTGCAGTCCTTTGTCCCATCACACCTCCAGTCTTGATTTATGCATTGACCATTACTACTCTGGAACTGACCACTGGTGCACTGACCTGCTCAGAGAATTATGGGTTTTGTCTGACCAACCTCAGGTAATCTAATTTGACAAAACATCACTAATAGTTGCACTAATAGCACATGGTACAAATGGAAATTTGACATATGTTATGTGTGCATATTTTTTGAGAAGTGGGTATCACTGCTCAGTTACCAGAGTTTTATACCAGTTTTATACTGTCACCCTAATTGCTTATTCATTCAAAACGCCTCATTGTTTTTGTGCCAACAAAGCAAAACTTTGATTTATAAATTATATAATTGAATAGTTATATATATATATAGATTTTGCAACTCCTGCAGAAACATAGCCAATGGAGTGTACCGACTGACACATAAATTAACTATGTCTCAGAATTAGTGAAAGCATTTTAAGTTCGGTGTCAAATTCTACAGAAAAAAAAAGAAAAAGAAAACAGTCATCAAAAAAAAAAGTGTTTTGGGGTACACATTTACCATAACGTTTTTATGAATGTTTAAGAAATGGAATATACTGTATGTCTATATATTTATAATTTGTCTATATAATAATCCTTTTGGTTTGTGTTGGATTTTGTTTTGCTACTGTAACTGTAATATGGCTAGGCATATTGTGTATTGAAAATCAGTGTATTTAAATTGATTTTGGACCACTTTTTCAGCACTCTTGGATATAAATCTAATTTTTCCACTATACAATGTTATGAATACATTGCAGAGATGTGTTTAAATAATATTTGCTTTTTGATTATACAATTTGTAAGTAATCTTTGGGGGGAAAAAATTGTATTCTCAACTTATAGGGTAATTAAGGCCAAAGAAGACTGTAAATTTTACCCATATGAATTTTGTGAAATAGTTAAATATCACTCATTTATCTTTGGGAGATAAACGTTTTTTTGGGGTTCTTAAGTTGATGTCACATTGACGATTGTGGCAGAGCTCATTTGATAACCATTTATGGGAAAATCATGTAGAAATCTAAAATAATGACACAGAAATCTGGTGATAAAGCTTGTGAGGTATAAGTTGCAGAATTTATGATGTGAATTGTCAGAAAACGCAAAGCAATTTCAAATCAGAATATTTTCTACAGAATTTTTTTTTTTCTTGTGTCCCAAGAAATGTATCTGAGACATTTTCTTGTATCTGAGACATATTTGCAAAGTGGGACAGGGTAATGCTAAGTGAGATGGCATATAAAGTCATTTAAGTTATGAGTTCATCATTAACTTATACAGCATTAATAATGATTAAATGCAGTGTAGTACAGTGCATAATATAGTGTATTTACAAGTGTTTAGTGCAGTGCACAAGGGTGAATTTACATGAATGAAATGAATTTCAGAATCGAATGGGGAAAAAAAAAAAAGATAGAAGGAAGGAAAATTATAAAAGTCGGCTATGTTGCAAACAAACAAAAATTGTTTAAGCTTTTATTGTAAGCTTTTAATATTCTGTTTTTAATGTCAGAATATATGGCATTTGAAAAACTAAGCATTTAAATGTATGAATTCAGAATGAATACAAATTATGTGTCTGTTTCATAAGAATATCTCATTTGTTTAAAATGTCATACACTAACGAACATGCAGATACCTTTGAATACATTATTTAAAAATCAAATGCTTTATTAACTCCATGTTATTTAAATACAAAAATATACTGTTTTTATTATTATTTCTTAAAATCATTTGTAATAAAATACAATTGGCATAGTTACAGTTAGAACAGTTAATCATAATTTCTCTTCCTGAATAAATAAGGCGCATCACTGCTTGAATATCTCAAAAGAAACATTGATTTGTTTTGATTTATTTTGTAGACCTGAGTTTCCAGCCCAAGCATTAAACAAATGTCATAAATATGAACATTTAAATATCTGACTTAAACAACTATTGCATTAAAAGCATGGATGTGGTTTAAAATATGTTTTGTTGGAACTGAAAAACAAAATGATTTTAAATTTGTAAGATGGAAAAGAAAAAGAAATAATGTAGAACAGGAGGAGTCACTGTCAAATCGAAGGCCTCTGCAACACAGCTTCCATTCAACAGTTGAGGAACGACATTTTGTCCAAATACTTTTAAAGCAAAAGCTTAGATCAAGATTGAAGCCCATAAACCGAATTTCATTAGCTGCTAATACCACAGAATGTAAATACGAAGGAAATCTGAATTCTGTTCCTATGGTTAATGAAAGATTCATATAAAAGGGAATAACTATTTTCCCATTAAAATCTTCAAATTTGGGTCAACAAAGAAATAAAAAAATGTAATTCAATCCACATGAAGATGAAGAAAAATCATACAAATGCAGTGATTTTCCTGATTAAATTATGTTAATATCTGCGCATTCTGTCATCATCTTGCCGAAAGTATGGGTTGTGGACACCACCATTTTCCACTCCTCTCCCACCATAGCCGGAGTACGCTGGGGGAACTTGACCCCTATTACTCACGTCCTCATCGTAATCAGTGTAGCGCTACAAAAACACAAATAATGTTTTTAGATACTTAGAGGTGCTTTATTAATAAATGTGATTTTATCACTTTGATCAAATAGTTATATGGATAATAGATAATGCTCAACAAGGGTCATCACTAAAATTCATGTTGCCTGTAATAAGCCCAGCTAGTACAGTAGTGTTGTAGTGCTGGTCTTACCGCTTTGCTCTCTGGGCGATCTCTGGTCACCAGTGCCTGATTGCTCCCACTATCGGTCATCTCCAGATTGTTAGACTTCCAGCCAGCATCAGGGTTGGCCCGAGGAATCCTGGGAACTCCGGTAGGTTTATGTAATTCCTTATTGCCATAGCTTGAGCTAAAATCTTCCTGGGATGAGGAGCTTCCCTTTTGATTCCTACAATCGTAAATGGACACACAAACAAAATTAGTGTTTTAAATCCATAGAATGTTTGTGTAAATGGACTTAGAAAATGTGTTGTGGATTTTCACCTGCAGTTTACAACTATCAGGGCCACAATAAAGATGATCAGCAATGCACCCAACACAGTGGACACCACGATCACAACCAAAAGATATGCTGTAATGAGAATTTGCATTACACACAGATGCATAAATGTTCCTCAGAAGTAGTATAACAGAGAAGATGAGCTTGATTCAGATGATGGTGGACAGCTGACTTACGATCATTGCAATTAAATCCAGCGAAACCAAAAGAACACCTAAAATAATCAAAACATCTCTCAGTGATACCATGGAACCACAACTCTCCTTATGACACATCTGACATTACATATATGCTTTTGCCCTGTAACATGTAAATACAGGGAACATCCTTAAGGAGCTATTTCTGCCTAATTTAAAAACTGGTGTAACCTTATGTATTCAGGTTCATTAAGTCATATTTAATAATATTTTACTTAAATAAAACCAGTTAATATAGATGTTACAGATCGATCACTTCAATTCATGGGGCTTTTTTTTTTTTTAATTAGTGGGCTTAATGAGTATGTTATACCATACCACAGAGGACCTTAGTGGTCCCTGGGATAACATTAATTGTTTATGAAATAATAATAAAATTTTCATATAGAAAATGTATTCATTAAAATCTTTAAAGAAATAATGCAAGTGCATACTTTTTACAGCTGTCTTCACCCACTGCCATTTCCCCATTCGGACAAGCTATAAAAAGATGGGAGCACAATAGTAAATTTATGAGGACCAGTTTGAATGTTTTGAAGTTGTGCATAAATACTAGGGAGCAAAAAAGATACTTACGATGGCAGAAAAGTGATGTGAATTGTGACCTGATGAACCCATCTTTGCAAGTACACCTTACAGTACCACTAGCCACTTGTTCTTCACAGGCTTTGGTGGTGGTACTGTCACAAATGTCAAGATCACACATACTGCCTCCTGTGAATTGAGTATATAAGTTAAAATGTACTAATGTATGCTTCTTTCTAATGCTTGAAATTGTTACATTGTTCAAAATCATTGCAGAAAAACTGGTAAAAAGAAGCCTCAGATGTACGTTCATAATTAGTGGCGTTTTCAATTTCAGAAAGTGCATCATCAATCTTCTTCCCAACTGAATCCGATGTGGCACTGGATGACAAGTCGTAGAAATTCTGCACTTCTGCAATTACACTGCCACTACTGTAAAAAGAAATTATGAAAAACACGCAAAACAACTTATTTTATATGAAATAATTCATGTGGGGAAGCAAACATTGTTAAAAGATTTAAACTCATTAGCCTTTAACTAGGGGCCAAATTAAAGCTGTTCTACTCTATCTCATAATGCTAAGACTGAAAGTGTGAATTATTATTTGTGATTTATATTCAACAATGAGTAAAAGAAAACTAAAAAGTGTCTCAGAAGCTATTACATTCACAAGTTAATGTTTAAAGGAAAGGCTATTATAACAAGTGGTACTAACCTTAGACTGAAAACGATGGAATTAATGTAGCCACTGTCATCACCCAGGGAGTTTCTGAGCTGTATTTGGATTAAGAATATAGAAAGCAATGCTGTTTGACATCATCTGTTACTTATTCACCACCATTTATTTATATCACTCATCATTTACGATGTAAAAATGGAAAATCTTGCTAGACATGCTGCTATAGAGTGTGTTGGTTTGGATTGAATGTCTACACAAATCTAAAAGGAAATTCAGTCTCTTACCTGCTTCTCAATTTCACCTGCTATCTGTTGAAACTCTTCAGACATTTTGTTAGCCATATTTGGATTATAAACCCTTGCCAAAGATAAACTACCTGGGAAGACCT